TAACTGAAAGTTAAACTTATGTAACACAAATGTAGTTTTGAAATCTTTAATATAGAACTTATGTTCTAATTTTTTTTGAAAATAAAGTTTCGACTATGACATTATTTAATAAAAAAAAAAAAAAAAAAAAAAAAACAAACTGCTACAATGATATGATATTCTACTTTGATACTATTAGAAGTTTTTCTTCTATATCTTATGTTACTTGTAGTATATTAAAAAAGCTATACTACTTATAATAATATAAATTACTACTATACTAATATACTCTCTAAACTCTTTTTTTATTTTTCTACAAGCTATTCGCAGATTTTTATTAAGTATTATTTTCAAGTTATATTTGTTAGTGAGAATACAATTAGCTATATATATAACTTTAGTTATTATCTATTTAAAGGTTCTGCTATATAGATTATTTACTAATTGCTATACTGAGTATCTGCCTACAGATACTCTATTTAAACTCTTTGGTATTACTATAAAACTCTATATTTAATCTAATATTTATAATCTATACTAATCTTATGCTACCTAATTTTGAGAATTATCTAAACCAATTTGCATTTTAAATTTTCTTCGTAGGACTAAGTCTTATTATAAGATACTCTAATAATTCTATTCTAGTGAAAGCTTATAGATAACTCTAACTATACTATGCTGTATCTTAATTAAGCTAGTATATACTCTTATTAGTATTTGTACAAACCCAGTTCTAGCTAAAGCTTTTTACTAAATTAGTCCTCTAAGTTCTTCTAAATATTTTATAAAATAGATCTTCTCAAATTTAGTTAATTGCTAAGCTAAGTTAGTATTACTATATAACCTTGTATAATAGACTTATTTGTATTTACTTGATCTGCATTTTTTATATCTAGACTTCTTTTCTAGATTAAGTGTCAAACTAGTATAACTATTGAAATTCACATTATATCATCTAATTTAAGATTTCTATCATACAGATCTCTTACTTATAGATCCTATTAAGATTTATTTGTATAATATTATATCTTACTTAACTTTTTCTTTATACTTCTAATACCTAATTAATATTAGTACAACATGATTTACAGGATTACAATTCCAAAAACAAACAGGATTTACTATAAGTTGAATACAAAGATCTAAATAATTATTCAAATTCATTAACAGTAAGATTTGAATCTCAGACCTCTTATATAGTAGTCTGACAATCTAACTACTATACTAAGATTACTAGACCTACTCTCTAAGTTTTAAAGTTATACTTTGTTATTTATTTAACCTTTTGTTCATATGACTCAAATCTTCTAAATACTTGATACTAACTTTATGACCTAAATAACTTGAGCTTTAATAGTTTTTTAGCCTAATCTAATATATCTCTTTTATAAGGTTACTTACTGTTAGTTATTTGAGTTTTTATATTGTTAAACAACTAAATCATAGTCTTCTCTCTGCTTACACTATGTAAAATATTCTAAAACTAATTTGAACTAGATTAATTTTGAATCATTTAGCAATGCTATTTATAAGTATTATAGTATTATTATCTAATTTTGTATTTTAACTAAAAATTTTTACTCATATAATTAGTAATTAAAATTTTAAAACTTCTTTATTAATAAGTTTATAGACTATCAGAATGATAGCTATTTAGAGTTTAAGGTAGCTTGTTGAACAGCAGTTACAAATATTATTTTATAGATAAAATAAATAAATAAATAGAATAAATAAAAAAATGATACTAGTAAAGACTACATAGAATGCTTGATCACAAAAAGAATAAACTTATATGTTTCTATTATCATAAATAAAAAAAAAAGCCTCATATATATTTGTTATTAAATTAATACTAGCAAAAGTCTTTATCATAAAATTTCTATCATTTTGTTACAAACAAATTTTGCCAAATCAAAACATTTTAAAAAAGAATCCTAACATACAACAAACCAAAAAAAAAAAAAAGCCAATGAAACAAAACTGAAAATATATAAAATAAATGTTTTCAAACTTATCCTTAAATACTAACAACTAATAAAAAAAAAATATTTTTCTAATATCAGACCAGTTTTTAATTTTATTTAATAACAGTATCATTCTTTTCACAAAATCTATAAATCTTATTATTCACAATTTTGCATTATTAACCTATATTATAGAAAGGTTTGTTTATTAGTTAAAATTATGAAAAATAAGTTTTCACAAATATAAAGCATAAATTGCCAGTATGATTAATTAATTACACTTATAAGCTAAACTCAAATATTTGAATATATCTATTATCTAACTTCTGAACTATCTCATAAATTATTAGATAATTTAAAGTTTATAAAACAAGATTTATACTTTAAAATTTTTAGAATTTCAAGCTTCAACAATTTGTTTCTGTAGCTAAAGATTCATTTTTGTAATATGCTAATATATAAATTATTATCTAATTAAATTAAAAATGCAATATACTGTTTTAACCTATTTGACCTGAGTTAGATTAAAAGTTAACCTGTGATCTATTGAGTCATTGACCCATATGGGTCAATGTGACCTGGGTCATATCTCTAATGTAGTCTAAAGCAGTGTTGTCACTGGAATTCTGGAATCCTACTAGAAGTCCAGAATCTTCCAGCCTTCCAGTGGTTCCAGTAGAATTTTCACTGGAAAAATTTTTCCACTAGAACTCATATAAGATTAACCAATAATAGTAAACAGCAGTAACCAATAAAAATGCATATATTTCATATGATTTTAATATAAGAACCTTTTGCAATTGTAGCATAGAGATGTTAAATATACGGTCTAGTCTGGTCCCAGTTTGTCCTGGTCCTAAACTAGTTAGGAACTAGTTCAATACAGCAATATACATTACAGATAATTGATGAATTATTCCGTTTAGACCAATATAAATTAACCGATTATTTACTAATTTTATACCAATTGGAGTTCTATTAATCACCCAATTAGTGATGAAATATCTGTAAAATTACTGCTAATAAAAATATTTTTCTTGATTTATTTTTAATTAAATTTTATTCAATGTGTTAAAAATGACACCCATTTATATCAAGTGATTTTTTAACCGGTTCTTAGTGGTCCTAGTTCAGGACCAGCGCTGAACTAGTTCCTTTTGTACCACTTAACATTCCTAGTAGCATACGTACAAGAACACAGGTTAATCAAATCTGCATAACTCAAAAAAAGCAAACAATTAATAACGAATTTATAATTTCTAGTGTTCTTTTATTTTATAGTATTTCGTTGATCTGTTACAATTTATGTATTGCCGTTAATACCAGTACATAGTTTCTGGGATCTAAACCAGAATACGTTAGACATACATTTGGAAGTTTTTTTTTCCTTTATTATTTTTTTTTTTTTTGTTTGATTTTAAAATAACTGTATAATTTGAATAGTAGGTAAAGTTTCAAGTTTTTATTTCAACACAGCTTGCAAATTCAGGGTTCAATTATTTTATAATGCAAGTTGGTTGCTAGCTTTAAGCATTGCTGCCAGACAATAGATCATAATTAATTTTGGTAGAAATAAGACTATGCATGACAGGATAATAGTACATTAGAAGGTATTCAAAACTTACTTATCGTTATTCATATAATCTGGCTTTTGAAATTGCACACTAAATATACTACATAATTCCCATTTCGCTTTATCATCTACTGCTGGATGCTTGTAATTATTTAACAAATCACCTTCTATATAATCATAAGGATTGTTCCGTTGTTCCTCTTCTTCCTCTTGTCTAGTAACCTCCTCATCTATCAACATTTGCTCCCAGTCACGTAATTGGTTTTCCCAATCATCAGCATTTGTTATATCTGATGACTCATCATACAATCCATTGTCTTCATCTGTATCTATATTTAATCCAATTTGTCCATCTGTAGGTTGATCTGTAGTTTCACCGATAGGTGATGCACTAGATTAGTTGAACATGGTATCACAAGTATGGATTTGTTTTTTTACTCGGGAAAAGTTAATTGAAGCACGGATTTGACTCATAGCTAGTACTTTATCATTCTAATTTTTTTTTTTTTGTTAAAAAAAAAAAAAAGTTAATTTTAAAACAAAGAACCAAAAAAAATCTTACATGGAGACGGCAACGATGGTTAGTGTGAAGAAATCCCATTGAACTCCACAGTCTTTCTACAGATGCTGCATTAACACATATTCCAAATAAGCATATGGCTAGTGGTCCTAACTCTCTAGTTGAATTAGAAGCGAATTCCCAAAATCTCAGTGCATTTTTTTCAAATTGTTCATATGTTGCAAAGTCAAAAGGATATTTACGTTTTCTATAGTCTTCTAGCTCAAGCAAGATGCAAGTTGGTCGGTGTCTAAACCACGCTTTGTAATAATAAGTAACGAATTAAGCTAGATATGTAAAATTTAAATTTTCATTATTATTGTTAAACCATGTAATATGAATATTTGAATTTAGAAGAAAAGATAATAATAATAATGGTTGTTCTCATTGTTTCCATCTTTGTTCTAACCGCAGGATCATACGTTGAGCTAAATCATAATCTGAATGTTCCTCCCACATTCTCAATATTCCACCAAAAGCTTGCAACATATCATAAAGACGTGCAGTACCCGACTGTTATTTGTTAAGAGCTCCACAATAAGGAAGAAGCAAAGAATGTAATCGCATTATTGATTGCCAAAATTGTCGTTAAGTAGAGTTGCTGTTATCAGTTGTAGAAGATAAAGTTCATCTAAGCTATTCGAAGGCTGATTCGATCCTTCATCGCTAGAATCATATGTTGAAATTTCAAAA